TCTAAAGTTAGTGTTGGCCAGAAACAAATGGTTGATGAAACAAAATTGAAGCAGATGATCACCGTTGTTGGTTCGTTAGCATGGGATTCCATGAATACCTCCAAGATGCCTCTCCGACTGGCTCAGCTTCCTTACTTGAGCGTTAAAGTCACCTGCCATTATGACTATATGTGAACGTTTTGCTTTCTGTAGCAAAATTGACAGCTTCTAACAGAATTCATCATTTGAATCATCCAAGCTACAGTCGATGGGTGCGTAGGCAGAGATTAAGAATAGGAATCGCCTAGTTACACGATCTTTCCTATTCCTTAAGATTCATTCAGACGGACAGCACATAGACGGCTGTTTAATGATATCCAATCGAGAAGCACACTTTCTGCTCTACGAATCAAGGGTACCTCTACACCAGCAAGTCAATGACGGGCTGGCCAACGCGTATCCGGATACTCTCTTAACATGGATTTGGAAGATTCATCAGACTGGTCAGGTGAGGTCAATTTAACAACCGCACTCGAGTCCTGTGTACGTGTCTCAGAGGAACAGCACACACTCAAGGCTAGAGACTCCACAATTCTGGCGAGCGATACTTTCTGTCGAGTTTGGCATAGAGTTCGGAAGTTGAAAGTTCCTACATCAAATCGATGGCGGGTGGAGTCTTGGGAGACTAGAAATGAGGAATTGATGGCTTTGATCGTTGATAGTGGTTGCAGAGTGAGAGATTGGGTAAGACATAAGAGACCTAGTATTACTATCAGAATATAAACGCAAAGGAGGGGACAGAGTTTAGGAGGATCAGTCATGTTTGATTGTCTTGTGTACTAATGGAAGCGTGCAGGCTGGTGGCACTTCCCGTCTGCCCACGCTGTGGAAGACCATTTCTTCTTAAGATACCTGAAAGAGATAAATGTGTGAGACCTCAGAGCCCTAAAGATATCTGCTTCAGGCCTGTTATACACAGCCTTTTGCCGGTTGTTTTGAGGACTGGGTGTTCTGACACCGGATACAGGAAGATCATGGGGCATAGTGAAGTGTTATTTTTGGGCTGACCATTTTCTAACCCCTCCCTCAGTTGAGAAAGCAGCAACAGCGCCGCACTGCTGGTCATCTAAGGGAAACACCTTACTGCTGTCACACCTGATGCAGGTGCTAGCATTACAACCTCGCCCTCCGAACGCCATCATACTATGGTAATTTACAGTACAGTGGCAATTGCTTTACGTCTTACTACTACCCAACAAACCTTTCTGGTATGGTAGAACCTCGAGGGGAAAAGCATTCGACCAGCATAAATCGTTCGGTCATTATGATATGCAAGCTCGACCACCACATCAAAGTAGCAGCTACCGGTCGGGATGGTGGTAAGACGAAAAGCAGTTACCGTTGTAGTATAAATTGCTATACTACGACGGGGTTCGAGGATGAAGTCGTATTGCTGTTAGCCGAACCGCGTGTGACAGCAATAAGGTGTTTCCTTGGATGACCAGCAGTACCACGATGATGAGGCCTTCCCCGCCCAACTTCATCTGGTGGTGGCGGTGCGTGTTTTCTCCATCCAGCCTTAGAACTATCAAATCTCATATCAACAATCCTGAAAAGTCTGTCTGACAGGCTTCGAACAGATGTCCCATGAGTTCTGTGATCACATAAATCTTTTCGTATACCAGGTACCTTAAAAAGAAATAGGCTTCCACGGTGGAGGCAGTCGGGAAGTGTCAACCGTCCTCACACTTCCGGTAGTCTACAAGTCGGATATCTCACCAGAACTAGAAATGGTGTGAGTTGGTACGTGCCAGGTGGTTCTTTTGTTTCTGAGGTGAAATTTCGTCGAAAACCGAATTCATTTGAGTTGATTCAACTCTTCAGTCGAGTGAAGTGGTCAGTACATTCTGCCTATTCACTGTGCATCCTCCAAGTAAGAGTTGGTGCAGAGCAGTGGAGAAGTATCACTTTACAGTTGACAGGTATAGAACGCTCGCTATACTAATTACTTTTAACCGATAGGAGTAAGTACAGACATGTTCCAAACGGTGAACATATGAAAACACTTCCTGCCTCATTGTAGGATAGAATTTGTCATGCGACATCAACACTAACATTTCCAGAAGTGTTGTCTATATATATATATATATATATATATATATATATATATATATATATATATATATATATATATATGCTTTATGATGTAGTAACAAACAGTGAGTCTCCTAACGCAGTTGAATTCATGTTTTAATGTCGTCTTGTATACTAGAAATCAATATTTGGTGTTATTTTAAGTATGTAACATAATTTCTCATGCGAATACCAACCTGTATTATGCCGCCTATTTTGAACACATCTCCAACAGCAGCTGTCGACTTACAATAATTACTATTCCTATATAACATAAAATGATCAACCTTATATATTTGGTACATTGTGCAGACACTGACGTCCATATTGGATGAAAATGTGATAAGATAATCATAATATGTCCAACTGATAGTTTCATATTTCGTCTTAGTATTGAACTCCTCAGTAGTGTGCACCCATGACCCCACCGGGGAATGAGCTCAAGACCTTGAGGTTCCACGGCTAGCACGTCACTCCCATTGAGCCACTGGATCAGAATCCAATAATCCGCATTTTTCCAATTCTGTCAGTTTCATATTTCCATAACTGTTATTCGTGTTAAAATTTCCAAATATGCCTTCAGTCTAACGTAGATGTGTACACCTGATGCAGGGAATGAGTGTTGAACAATTTTTTTTATCTATATCAAGTTTTAATCCAGTAGAAGAGGATGTCAGTTAGCTTAAACTTGGTTGGCTAATGTAAGTAGCAATCTTTGTCTATTGATAGATATGAAATTATTAATAGGCTATACGATGTTTGTACAATGAGAAAATTGTCAGAAAATAAGAATTTTCCCTTATAATAAAGACCATCTTTTTCGCGTGAAAAATGTCAAATAGGAAGAGGCATAAATGCACATACATATGCATATGCATGGACATACACATTTTTTCACGAACATTCAAAATGATTGTAGCGCGTCTTTGAATGGTTGGTTAGACATAAAAGCCAATAAGAGAAGGGAGGCAAATATCACATCGTTTAATAAATACAGACAGTCAGAAAGTGATCGATAATTCTCTTTTTTAGATGAGTCAGCGCTGGGGAAGGAGGTAGAAGGTGAAAGTTGAAACAAGCTACGTTTTATTATTATTCTATTATTCTATCTACGCCCACTCTAAATAAAAAGGGGTAGACATACAACATGGAAATGATCATAACAAACGTTCCATGATAATCACTGTAGTAGTAGTAATAATAATAATAGTAAGGCCGTTAAAAGGTCTAAACAAATTTAGTAGAACAACAGCCGTACAAGGTATAAGGAAGACGACTAACCTGGTTGTGACACCAGTGAACACATCACTGTAACAGTTGTAAAGCGTTTTTCAGTTGTCAACTATTCACAGTTAAAATGACTGAATTCCACATAGATAAAACGTGAAATTATAGTTGTCACCACTGGGGGGACTGATTTCAATGAAGAGTGTGACCTGAACACTGATTAGTCAATCGTCTAAACCTTTCCACCTGAACAAATCCATCAGTTAAGGATCCACTGAATCTGGCTAGTTAACTTGAATAAACTGCTTTTTAGTCCCGATGATCAGTACGCATAACGCATTTATGCGATCAATTTGCAAACAATATACATTAATGACGGATAGTAGTTAGCAATGGAATCCAGGACGCACGTTTCTTTTGGTTCGAGTAAGTGTTGTTCCCACTAAGATTGGAACCTGAGGCCGATGGCTTTAAACTGCAGGGCGTTCTCCACTTGGCCGTTGAGTAACGATAACCACTCCCTGTACGGCAGCTGTAGTTTTTTATTTCATAGCCAACGAATCTCTGCCGTTAATTGGATAGAATTGACCAGCTACAACTGGCCAATGGATTATTGTGTGGACGCCTCAGTAGTATTGGTGGAAAGGGTTTAATTACCTGATGGTTAACCATTTAATCTAATTTGTAGGGTTTGTGAGGATTAGTGATTTTTCAAGTTGATATTCCTCATGGACTGACATCAGTTGAGGGAAAATTGGAAGGTTGGAAGTACTGGGTAGCTGTTTCGTCCTACCTTGAGACTCCTCAGCAGCGCGCACTTGCGACCCCACACCATGAGGGATACAACCTAGGACCTTTAGGTCCTATTGAATCACTGTATCCGAGTCTAGTGATCCATATTTCCAACTTCTGTCGTTTCACGATGTAGCACAACAATCAACCCAATCACATCGTTGGGTATTTATCCTCACGGCTACCAGGTTAGCCCCAGCGATCACGGCTTCTTATTGAAACCTCAGGAATTACCTCTGGAAGTTAGTCACCAATGGGCACTAGATCAATTTAATTTGGGGGTTTGTGGGGACTTGGTGATTTTTCAAGTTGGCGGGGTCATAGGTGAGCACTGCTGAGGAGTCCCAAGGTAGGATGAAACAGCTGTCCAGTGCTTCCAACTAATGTCACTCCATGATAATGAATATAAACTTGAAAAATAACTTTAATCCCTACTTGCACCGTTCTGTAAGTTAGTTGCAAAGCAGACTACTAATCAAGTCTACAAAACAGTATGTTTTATTGCACTGATTTAATAACTTATTATCACTCTGCAAAAAGATTTTAGTAGTTGTTGAAACAGTCAACTTAAGCTTTTGATAAATTCGTGTCAATGTGCAGATAACCGTGTAAACCAGTATTGTAGCTAGGGGTGACAGTGATGTGTATGTCTATCACACTATGCAACAGATGAAGAGGAGGGGTGGTAAAGCCTGTCTTTTTGTTTCAATGGGCTTATTGCAATGCCTTACAACTCAGTTATAGCAGACAACCTAGTAAAAAGACAAAGAAATGATAACAAAAATTAAATCAACATTAGTTCCAACTTACTACTTAAAAAGTATATAAGTAGATGCATACAAATTTACATATACAGCATGTTTACTTACTTTTTCACAGGAATTAATTTCATTGGAAGTTTTTTTAGCTTTTGAACCAGGTGGACGACCTCTTCGACCAGAAGTTAAAGGAGGCATTGAGAAATTGGGTGTGATAGGTAAAGTCATAGGTTTTCCGTTAGTTGTACTGGATGTCTGTTTAGCTGCTAGCGGATGAAGTCGTGTAAGCGTATTATTACGATCAAATGATGATCCCAATTTATTAATTGATTTAGAACATGATCCATTTGAAGTTAAATATGCATTGGATAAAGTGTTAGGTGGAAGTAACTTCTTATTAGCCATTTGAGGTGTATGTACAATGTTGGTAGTTTGGTAGGCTTTCTTACGTTCTCCTGTTTCATCTAATACGTAACGTCCATCTATAGTCTTGGCAAGTTTACCATGAGTAGCTTCACGATCAAGACACACACGAAGTGTGGCTCCAGTTAGTTGTGGCATTGGATTAGTTGCATCGATTTCATCACCTCCAATTAGAAACTGTAAGGCTCGTTCAATTTGAAGGACACTATAACCACCATTTGGACCAGGTTGTGAAAATGGGATCAAATTAGTGCATGTTTTTGTTGACTGATTATATGGATTGTTATCCATAAGACGACGAATAGCATCAACTAATTTATTACTTACACTAGGTAAGTTTTATTACCAGCTCCAGATGTAGCTGCAGTTTTACGCCATTTCGATGGATTTCGATAACTTAAATTACCCTTGTAATCGACGCATACAACAGCTCCAGCATCTGCAAGACGTTGAAGACACAATTGAGTTTGTTCATAATTGATATTTTGATGTCGTTTCAACAGACAAGAGATACGTTCAAAATCTGGTCGAGCTTTTCTTTCACGTAGTTTATCAATAGCGTCTAAAATAGCATCTCGATGAAAGTCAACTGCTTCTAAAGCTTCTATATTTTTGATGCCAGTAACCTTCGGAGGAAGTGTTAGTAAAGGTTTCTCAGATTTGACTGAAGATGGCGCCAAAGTATAATCCATACTAACAGTTGATGATGATGCTGATGATGAATACGAGGTTGTACTCAAATGTGAAGGTAAACTAGCAATTGTTGTGGCTGGTAGTATAGCAGGAGTACTCAAAGGGTATAAAGTTGCAGTGTATATTGGTGTTGTGTAATTCGGTGATGACATAAGAAAAGAATTAGTTGTTTCCGTCATAGGGTTGGATGAAAGAGGTTGATTCATTCCTAATGGGATCGGGAGAATACCGACAGAATTTGTCTGAGCTTGATTATTGAATGATACAGGAAAAGTAGGCAGTACCATTGGTTGAGAGGACAGAATATTTGATGAAACCGAAGTCAGTGATATATGATTGTTCGATGGAAATAAAGATACAGGCACTGTAGATACATTTCCGGATGAAGAAACAGTTGAAGAGAAGCTAGAAAGTGAATTACTCTGTCCTGGTTGAACAAAATGATGCATATGAGTACCAAATGGTGATGGAACAGATAGAGATACAGGGTTGGAAGACAATAAACCGCCAGAACCAGGAGCAAAGAAAGGAAGAATTGGCCCCTGTAGTTGTGGTGGACTTGATAACGGAACTGTACACGTAAGATTTGTCGGATTTGGAGTGAAGTTATTTGGTGGTAATATAAACTGCGTAGTGTTCATGCCTTGTGTTGTACCAATATTCGAAGACATCATATTTGATGGCATGGACAACATTGCTCCTGGGGTACTAGGCAATGAAGACGGTGAGGCAGAAAACATATTGTTTATTGCAACAAATGTAGCTGGACCTCCATTCTGTGCAGTAGCCAACATAGCTGGAAATTGTGACAAATTAGTAGGACCAAATGACATGCAGCAGTATGAAGAAGGGAATATTGATAGAAAGGTTTACAAGTTGATCAGTAATACTTGACAGTCCCGATTTCAGTTCAAACGTGCAACCGACGCATGAAACGCAGTATGATTAAATGAGTGGAGGAGAGATATGTTCGCTCAAATCACCATCTAGCAAATAAGCTTTACGGAGAGACAGGGTGGCAGAAGATTGAGTATTTGAGACAACGAAACAATAGGCCGTGCGTTAGTGTGTTTATCTGTTCTGTAAAATAAACTGCATCGAATGACATAATTTGGATACACACACACACACTGCCATATGCATAGCTAAGAAAGAGCGCACAACACCCACATACATAAAGAGACAGCAACCTTGAATAACAGGCGGGATAGACATAATATAAACCAATCAGAAACCAGCTTTCTATTTCATGATTGGTTAATAATACAAATAAGTGAGCGACGCTTACTATCACAGAGGATGTCAGAAAGCTAGGGGTTGATTTGACCTTCGTATTTTTAGTAGGCCTTCTCTATTGATCTACCAATTGAGGGAGAGAGCAAATTAATGTCGGCAAGGTCTACATTCCTGACCCAACCGTCTAGGTCATTTTTACATTGGTTAGTAAGACCAAACAGACTAGAGAGCTATTAGTCTGACATCCGCTTTATGAAGGAGGGTAGATATAACGCAAAATTTAAATCAATATTTTCCACACAAGCTTACAATGAAAAAATAGTGCTTTAAAATGTCTCGTAAACCCTTTACACCGCTAGACATTTTGCTACAGTGTTTATTCAAACGTTAATGATAAACTCACTAACCAGTAGTATTTGCGTAGAAAAATATATGTATATTAATCGAACTCGCGAAACGCATAAAAGATATATTGTAGATTAGCGTTTCGCCTTAAATAAAAATACAATGAAGTCTTGTATTCTATAACTCTGTACGTATGTGCATCAACATATATTACAAAGGAAGTCAACCACAGTGAACACAAATACACATACATACAAGGGGTAGAAGGACAGATTTCGGTTATCTTATTTCAAATCCTGAACACCCACTGGTTAACACACACGATAAGGATGTTAGAAGATTCATATTTATTTGCGTATACTCTCTGATGAATTTACTGTAATCTTATGTGAATGGCTGTAACAAAAGTTATGATAAACTAATATCATCAGTTGAATAATTAATTTTTCTATAAAACACATATATAACCCAATCACACGAACAAAAATATAACCTGTCATTGAAGGAAGGGGTCGAAGCTATAAACTAATCTGAAAAATAAATATTTTTCTGGACTTTGAAGTATATGGAAATAGAATATACCTATAGTAGTGCTGCCTTTTACTCCAACTGTATAGAATTATAATAGTTTAGACAATGTATGTGTAATAAAGCTATACATTTAGGCGTAGTATGCGACTCATTCACTCACCTTGACCTCTACCGAATTTACTGACTTGTCCTTTTCGCGGTAGTAACCATTTTGTGCGCTAGATTCTCTATTATTGATTACCTTTTTTGTTTGTCATTAAAAATCGATTATTGACAATACTAACTGATAAAAGCTTTGATATACACTCTACTGAGTTGTTCAATTCATGAATTCCATAAGAGGAAGTTATAATCGTTTCACTATATTTTTCCATTGATCCACACAGTAACAAAACAATGATAGTGGGAACAATAAGATAAGTGGACATGAAAGAGGAGATTGTACACCATTTTACTTTCATCCAATACGAATTTCAGTATGACCATTAGTGCCTTCATTCATCTTTACAATATACACTACTTCATAAGTAATAGCTGTAAAGATAATTTCTTTCATGTCATTTAAAGGACTTTCTGAGTGGTAAAAAAATCATTAAGGGTTGACAGTAGGAACGAGAGACAGTACAACATCAAAAGTGTACGCTGTTGATGGGGTAAAACCTAAGACATGTTATCATGGCAACCATGTTGCTTTCCCAAGTAACCCATAGATTGTATTCTTCAGAATACAGCACATAAGGCACGTTGAGATTTCACCACTCCTAGAAGTATACAGTCTCACTGAAATCTTGGATAAGAAAGACACCATAGGAGTTGATAACTGGCTACTTGTTAGTATTCATTTAAGACGTTTTTAATATGCTCAATAGGATGTGCGTGTGTGTGAGAGAGTAAATTGTGTTGAATCTACATAACGCAAGTTTCATATTGAAATGTAAGTAGCAATTTCCTTTTCTAGTAATAAATAGATCAATGAATGGTACAAGAAGTGGCTATCGTGGCTCAGTGGATAACGCTGTGGCGTTTGAAGCGATCGCCCCCGAGTCCGAATCCCGGTGGGAACAACATCACTCACTGGGAAGCAGATACATCCAACTGACGAGTCCCAAGAAAGACGAAATGCGAATCCTGGATTCCACTGCTATTCACGATCCACCAATAACACATCAATGAATAGATGTAATGGTGAAGAGTGCATAACAACTCGATCAGGTTGTGGGTTCGAGTCCCGCAGCTCGAATAACAGATAACTGAGTTCACTCGAACAATCTGTCATTTATTATATACACAACACTTCAATTTTGAAAAATTCTGTGCAAAGAATCATCAATCCTTTGCTAGAAATCATAGTGAAAAGGGACAAAATACTACAACAATCTATACACTACTTAATGATTAGATTTCAGTAGTATCAAAACCAGACACACGGTGTATGAGTGAGTAGTAGTTTAACATTATCAGTTATCTACAGATGTTAGTAAGGTAGTATTACATAACTGTGAAGTAACTGTATCAATTCGACTATCTAGAAGATGGATGTGATGGTTTGACGGACTTGTATTGATACTGCGTGATGATTAAAGTTAGCAGAACACCAGTTTAAAAACCTGGAAGCCGCTGGTTCGACCCTGATTCTCATTTTATCTCCAATCCCCAACTAGTAACTAACTGTATCTCACACATTAAGTCACCAGTTAGAGTCAGGCTAGTTAGTTAACAACTAATAAATGTTCACTAGTGTATGATTAAGACAGCTTCTACTGTACACCCTGCGATCGTCAAAACTTGTCGATTAAATAGCTGTGGTTCTCAGGTCTACATTGAATGACTCACATCTTAATGTACACACGGTTGATGCATTAATCTATTTCAACAGACATTAGCTTCTCTAATGGAATAAAATAAGTTCACGTATGTGCGTACACTTTTATGCTGATCAGGTTTACCAATCAGAAAAATGTTTATTTTGGAATAAGGTTACTTACTGATATTGATACAAAATGTGGGTTGTGTTGTAGGCTTCGGACTGTCATCGACCTTGATGCAAGCCCTATACTTTAGCAATGAAGCTGTGATTACAATGTGAAGATCACTCGAATAACCTGGCTACATAAGACGGTTAAGTTAGCTCTCATACGAAAAATATAGTTTAGGCTTACCACGTTAATGACCTTTGCTGACTATAACTTGGCAACTACATATTACAAAGGTGTAATTTAATCCAAAAAAATAGAAGTTGGAAAATAGTTAGGTGTTTCGTTCTACTAAGGGACTCGTCAGTAATGTGAACCCATGTCCCCTTCCAGTTGAATATCACAATAAGTAAGTTAATCATACTACCAGGGGGTTGGAATTCAGACTGTATGAATTTGTGATATATTTTGAGGATCATTCAGTGTCATCGAACAATATACCTGAATTGATTGATCCAATGGACCAGGAAACTGTAGTAGAACATCATGATGCTACCTATGAATCTTTGACAATTTAACATATCCTTAGTGTTTGTCTAATCTTCATTCGATCAGTAGCACCTTCAGTATCCGACATGTTGCCATGTAAACTTTCTACAGCTTGACTGACATTAATCGTTATTAGTTCCATTCAAACATTGTGTCAAATAAACAATCTCCAGAGTAATTTCAATGAATTCTCTTCATTTATTGTAATAATTTCAATCTAAAATGTCACATTAAGTTTACATGACAACATGCCTGCAATGGATATTTCATTCTAAGGTAAATAGATATGATAGATTTGTACTGAGGGAAGTAGGAAACTGTAGATCACATTGGATACTGACCCGGTGGCGCCAGGGTAACATGCTAGCCAAGGAAGCTGAAGATCCTGGGTTGGATCCCTTGCGCGGTCATTGGTGCGCACAGTTGGAGAGTCCTATACTATGACGAAACAACTGTCTAATGTTTCTCTAACTAATGTCAGTCCATGATGAATAAATAAAGCATCATAAACCTCCTAAATGAAATAAAGGAAGGCATAGTAACATAGTTATACGTTCTGAATAGTGCAGCTGCTTAAGATAGTAATTTACGAGATTACTCACCAAACTAACACATACAGACAAAGATTATGGATAAAATCAGATGAGTAATTAGAAAAAATATCCGAAATCTACTAATAAAATACTATACAATATTGAAATGATCCTTTATCTAAAATTGATAAATCAAATCGTTTTCTCTTCCACATTTTACTTTACAACATTCCATATAATTAATAAGCATAGCAATTGATGTAGATATGTGAGTGTATATTAGGTGTAAATCAATTAACTGACCTTGTTAAAATAAACTTTAGTCGATAAGGTTAATCAATCAGTTTGTGTTATGTAACTCCCACCCCTCGTCTCTTTCTCTCGTTTCAACTTAGATATATTTATATTCTAGGATGTAATGTATATGTTTCAGCAATGTTGTAGTTTACTCGTTGGTGGCTAGCAGTGGAATCCATGATGGGCGTTTCGTCCCATTTGGACCCATCAGTTGGATTTATTTGTACCCCAATGAGTAATAGTGTTCCCACTGAAACTCTACAGAAGTCAATTCACTCTAAAAGCAGAGAACTACAAGTATCAATAAACGATAGCTGATACCCGCTGTACGAAATGTGTCCCAGTGGGATGTAGGTGCATCCGGTTGATGAGATTTAAATAGGACGAAGCGTGAGATCTATATTCCCCTGCTAGTCACCACCACGAAAATCGAAACGTGATCAATAATCAGCAATATCGAGGGATCCGCATAGGAGTCCATATGCCAACAGAAGTCGATCAAATTGATCCAGAAATTACAAGTATCAGCTAATAATGTGTAAGGAATATTTACAGTTTAGTTTGAGGCTTATGGGGATTTTTTACATTTCAAGATATTATTATGCCTCATAGACTGATATCAGTTGGAGAACATTTGAGCAACTGTTTCGTCCCAGTGTGGGACTCTTCAGTAGTACCCAGCCCATGAACCCTCCGGAGATCGAGCTCAGGACCTACAGACTTTGCTCGGAGCGAACACATTAACCATTCAACCAGTGGGTCTGGGTTCAATGGTCCAAAGTTTTCTAACTTCTATCATTTCACTTCACATTATTATAACAAAGTGAAGAGTAAGCTTCTTTTCTCAATATTGGTGACAACAAATACCAAAACACTGAAAACTAATCCGAAGAGATGGGATTTTCGATTGCAATATGTTGAGAGAATTATAACAGTAGCATATCTATATTATGTATAGATTCAGTGGGGTGACAATCAGTTATGCTTACACCTTGTATAGTAAGGCAATTAATCCTCACAGAGTTTGGAATTCTAGGTTAATTCCTGGATGAATGTTGCTGAGGAGTAACGAACATAGACGAAACGTTAATCTGGCAAGAATAATGAACTAATCATTTCTTCAGACAATATAATCTAAATTAATTAAAGTATTTGGTTGCTTTTAGATGGAAAGAAGATATCCAGTAGATATGAAGACGAATATAAAATGGTTTAGCAAACACTTCATCCTTTACTGTAACTTCCAGCATATTGTTCAATTGTCTGGAATGTTGTTAAGTTTCATCAGTCTTCTTCTTAAATAATTTCCACTAGAAAACACTTCGTCGTAAAGTGGTTTTACGGGCGATTTTAAAGACCACTTTAATAACTGCTGAGATAACCAATCAGGTTGCGGTATCCGGTTAGAAAGGGAGTTTTTTTTTATAAGTTAAAGAGAAGTAGTTGGTTATCTCGGAAGTTGCTGGGGTGGCCTTTAAAGTCACCCTATTGAGTTAACTGCTGATTAGGTCTGCAGTTGTATATCACACTTTTATGGCTGAGAAACAGTCATCATCCTAGTCCCAAGTTGAAAATTATTGCTACTAATGGTTTTCTTTTTTGGCAAGAATATACAGAGTGAGAAGACACTGAGGTCAGTTAGTTTGCAAGAGCATAGGAGCCTAATGATAAATTTCACATGATAAACCTCACTAAGATTAGTAATCTAAGGAAAACTTCAGCTATGGCTCTAGGTGTATTTATCACCAGTCATAAAACAGGATGAAGGTGGTATTGAAACTATGCTCTCTCAGGTAAAGCTGAAAGTAGAAACAATTAACGCATTTTTGATCATTGAATTATTGAAAGTTATCTGACTATATTGTTATGCATATGAGCAATGGGGTTAACGCCTAATTATTATCCGTTGAATAGTACCACCCTAACAACTAATGAGATGACCAATCACATTTCTATATTTCGCCTGAGAAAGTACTTTTCCATAAAATAAAGTAATTTAATTGGTTGTCGCATTAGTTGTTAGAGTGACTTTTAAAGTCACCTTAGGATTACACATTACCACAATGGTAAGCCGAATTGTTACTCTTTATATGTCAATATGCGTATATCCATTGACAAACGGACGATAGAAACACAGGACCTGGAATTATTGTGTTACAGTCCAAGTTG